AAGATATGATGCAGGGTGACATGACAGTAGTTTGTTGGATTATGTATTAGTAGATAAAAGACTGTTGAGTAGACTTCAGGATGTACATGTTTATAGAGAGGCCACAGATATCAGATCACTTTTTAGTTGTAGCTACACTGAGAGTAAAAGGTAGATGGGATACAAGGAGAATAGAAGCATCAGGGAAGAGAGAGGTGAAGGTTTATAAACTAAAAGAGGAGGCAGTTAGGGTAAGATATAAACAGCTATTGGAGGATAGATGGGCTAACGAAAGCATAGGCAATGGGGTCGAAGAGGTTTGGGGTAGGTTTAAAAATGTAGTGTTAGAGTGTTCAGCAGAAGTTTGTGGTTACAGGAAAGTGGGTGCGGGAGGGAAGAGGAGCGATTGGTGGAATGATGATGTAAAGAGAGTAGTAAGGGAGAAAAAGTTAGCATATGAGAAGTTTTACAAAGTAGAAGTGATGCAAGGAGGGAAGAGTATATTGAGAAAAAGAGAGAGGTTAAGAGAGTGGTGAGAGCAATGTAAAAAGAGAGCAAATGAGAGAGGTGGGTGAGATGTTATCAACAAAATTTTGTTGAAAATATAGAAAAAGTTTTGGAGTGAGATTAACAAGTTAAGGAAGCCTAGAGAACAAATGGATTTGTCAGTTAAAAATAGGAGAGGAGAGTTATTAAATGGAGAGTTAGAGGTATTGGGAAGATGGAGGGAATATTTTGAGGAATTGTTAAATGTTGATGAAGATAGGGAAGCTGTGATTTCGTGTATAGGGCAAGGAGGAATAACATCTTGTAGGAGTGAGGAAGAGCCAGTTGTGAGAGTGGGGGAAGTTCGTGAGGCCAATAGGTAAAATGAAAGGGGGTAAGGCAGCCGGGATTGATGGGATAAAGATAGAAATGTTAAAAGCAGGTGGGGATATAGTTTTGGAGTGGTTGGTGCAATTATTTAATAAATGTATGGAAGAGGGTAAGGTACCTAGGGATTGGCAGAGAGCATGCATAGTTCCTTTGTATAAAGGCAAAGGGGACAAAAGAGAGTGCAAAAATTACAGGGGGTAAGTCTGTTGAGTATACCTGGTAAAGTGTATGGTAGAGTTATTATTGAAAGAATTAAGAGTAAGACGGAGAATAGGATAGCAGATGAACAAGGAGGCTTTAGGAAAGGTAGGGGGTGTGTGGACCAGGTGTTTACAGTGAAACATGTAAGTGAACAGTATTTAGATAAGGCTAAAGAGGTTTTTGTGGCATTTATGGATTTGGAAAAGGCATATGACAGGGTGGATAGGGGGGCAATGTGGCAGATATTGCAGGTGTATGGTGTAGGAGGTAGGTTACTGAAAGCAGTGAAGAGTTTTTACGAGGATAGTGAGGCTCAAGTTAGAGTATGTAGGAAAGAGGGAGATTATTTCCCAGTAAAAGTAGGCCTTAGACAAGGATGTGTGATGTCACCATAGTTGTTTAATATATTTATAGATGAGGTTGTAAGAGAAGTAAATGCGAGGGTCTTGGCAAGAGGCGTGGAGTTAAAAGATAAAGAATCACACATAAAGTGGGAGTTGTCACAGTTGCTCTTTGCTGATGACACTGTGCTCTTTGGAGATTCTGAAGAGAAGTTGCAGAGGTTGGTGGATGAATTTGGTAGGGAATGCAAAAGAAGAAAATTAAAAGTGAATATGGGAAAGAGTAAGGTTATGATAACAAAAAGATTAGGTGATAAAAGATTGGATATCAGATTGGAGGGAGAGAGTATGGAGGAAGTGAATGCATTCAGATATTTGGGAGTGGACGTGTCATTAGATGGGTCTATGAAAGATGAGGTGAATCATAGAATTGATGAGGGGAAAAGGGTGAGCGGTGCACTTAGGAGTCTGTGGAGACAAAGAACTTTGTCCTTGGAGGCAAAGAGGGGAATGTTTGAGAGTATAGTTTTAGCAATGCTCTTATATGGGTGTGAAGCATGGGTGATGAATGTTGCAGCGAGGAGAAGGCTGGAGGCAGTGGAGATGTCATGTCTGAGGGCAATGTGTGGTGTGAATATAATGCAGAGAATTCGTAGTTTAGAAGTTAGGAGGAGGTGCGGGATTACCAAAACTGTTGTCCAGAGGGCTGTTGAGGTGGTTCAGACATGTAGAGAGAATGGAGCAAAACAGAGTGACTTCAAGAGTGTATCAGTCTGTAGTGGAAGGAAGGCGGGGTAGGGGTCGGCCTAGGAAAGGTTGTTGGAGGGAGGGGGTAAAGGAGGTTTTGTGTGCGAGGGGCTTGGACTTCCAGCAGGCATGCGTGAGCGTGTTTGATAGGAGTGAATGGAGACAAATGGTTTTTAATACTTGACGTGCTGTTGGAGTGTGAGCAAAGTAACATTTATGAAGGGGTTCAGGGAAACCGGCAGGCCGGACTTGAGTCCTGGAGATGGGAAGCACAGTGTCTGCACTCTGAAGGAGGGGTGTTAATATTGCAGTTTAAATACTGTAGTGTAAAGCACCCTTCTCGCAAGACAGTGATGGAGTGAATGATGGTGAAAGTTTTTCTTTTTTGGGCCACCCTGCCTTGGTGGGAATCGGCCAGTGTGATAATAAAAAATAAAAAATATATATCTGCTCATTGTATGCAACACAATAACTGCACAAACATTGTTATCATTACATTGTTGATAAAACCTGTTTACACAAACCCATGCTGCCTTCCCCACCACCAAAGCAGCCTTCCCCACTACCCACACTGCCTTCTCCACCACCCATGCCGTCTTCTCCAACCACCCACATGGAAATAAGTCACTTTTTCTGACTTTTCTGGGTTATCCTAGGTAATCTACACATAAGCTGCTATGTTGTTTACACAAACCCACGGTGCCTTCCCCACCAGCGACGTTGCCTTCCCCACAACCCACACTGTCTTCCCCACCAACTATGCTGTCTTCCCCACCAACTATGCTGTCTTCCCCACCATCCACATGGAAATAAGTCACTTTGACTTTTTTGGTGGAAGGTGTAAGGTTGATAATCATCTGGGTTTTCAGCACTATTTCTGTTAGCCTGGGCATTGCTTTCAGTCACAAACTCCTTAAAACCATGAGATTCATGTTCACTGACACTTTAATCTGTGTTAGAACTATCACTTGGGAAGGGAAGAGTCCCAATTTGCCAGAAAGCGAGGTATTCCATACTGCTAGGCTTGGTGACCAAGGCATACTAAATTAGCACTCCCCCAATACGCTGCGGCCTCTCCAATTTTTTTTATACTGTGCATACTGACGATGCAGACCCATTCTCTCACATGTAGGCCTACCAGCTTTGTCCCGCTAGATTTGAAGCCGACTAGAATTTTTGAGTATTAATACGTCACCAACACTGGCTCGTAAGACGTATCTATACAGCACCAGCAGTGAAAGGGTTAATGTGCCCAACACTGAATATTATTATGTAGTATCACTATGGTGTAAAGACTAGAGGGACACTTAATTATTTTAATGTGTACCTGCACAGTATGTCAGTATATTTAGGTACAGATACATAAAGTATAATTATCAGAGTAGTACATATAAAATATGGAATGACTTTAAAACACTTGAAATTTTGGAAAGTTTCCAGACATAATAGAGATGTGCTCACAGAGAATGTACACAAACCAGGTGGGGCCCATGGTATTAGAAAGACGGGGAGCCATATAGCGAGTTTTGGTCATAATCTGAAATCGCCTTAAACCAGGCCCTACTGTACATAAATAAAGTTAAAAAGAGAAACTTTTGTTTTTCTTTTTGAGACACCCTGCTTCAGTGAGATATGGCTGGTTTGCTGAAAAAAGAAGAACATTACATAGATCAGGTGCTGTGAGTGGGATGAGATCTCAGTAGGTAATGCTAAGTAACAGTAAATGTTCTGAACAATCAGAATATGTGAACATTCGGAATATGAGAGTATGTGAGCATTCCTAATATGTGAATATTCAGGATATTTGAACATTCAGAAGGAGAAGAGGTTACTAGCCCCTTGATCCCGGCACATTACTTGCCTCTTATGACACACATGGCTTACAGATAAAGGAGTCTTCTCCACTTTCCATTGTAAGTCCACTCCTAACTGTGGGTTGATAATCAACTGCTCCAGTTGTGGCAATGTGACTTGCAACCATCAAAAGATGATTGCAGATTCATACGCCATTGGTACTCAATGCAAAAGCCATAATATTAATTTTTCTGACAAAAATTTTGTAAGTAATACTCGTACACTTGTTTGAAGTGTACTTCATGAAGTACAATGAGCACATGACAATATTCAAGATGTGAGAGCACCATTGATTTTAACAGCATCCTTTTTGATTGCACTTGTACAGGTGTTCCTCGACTTATGATGGTTCTATTTATGACATTTCTACTTTGCAATGATGCAAAAGCAATTACTTTGGAGATGAACCCAGCATGAAGGTGACAAGTCCAAAACTTGTATTCATTTATTTACTTTGCAATATTGGTATTTAGTTAGTTGTTGTTGTTCTTTCAAAAAACTAGCCATATCCCACGAAAGCAGGGTGGCCCAAAAGAAAAACAAAAGTTTCTCTTTTTAAATTTTGTAATGTGTACAGGAGAAGGGGTTACTAGCCCCTTGCTCCTGGCATTTTAGTTGCCTCTTACGGCTCATTTATCACATCAATCATATTCGACTTACAGTATTTTTGACTTACAACGGGTGTGTTAGAACATAATCCCATCATAAACTGAGGATCACCAGTATTGAAATTTTTCATAATTCACCCTCTCATTTCCCTATCCTTTGCTGCATAAAAATAGGAATGAATCTCTCTCACAAGACCAACAATAAACAGACAATTCAGTGTTTTCAAAAAATATTATTAAAATGATAAGGAAGGAGTCAAACTATAAGGGTCATTACAATGCCTGAGAGAGGTAACTGGGTTTGATCCAAGGAAGGAGAGGGACATTAGCCTGAATCAAGGCACCTTCTTTGAGGGTGGGGACACATTTTTAAAAGAATGTCTAAATATTTTACCTTTCTCCTAAGCGGGATGTGAGAATACGTTTATCGCTGCGCCAGTCGTCCACTTGTTTACCCAAGGAAGAATCCTCATCCTTTATTTTCTCCAGTTCTGCTTCTATTTTTGCTATCCTGTAAGTCAAAAGAATACTCGAAAACCCAGTAAACACAACATGTCACACACATCCACACTTACAAACATCACATGTCACACACATCCACACTTACACCACATGTCACACACATCCACATTTACACCACATGTCACACACATCCACACTTACAAACACAACATGTTACATGCATCCACACATTATGAGGAAATAAATGGCAACAAAGCCAACAAGTAAAGAAAGAAAAAACACAACTGCAGAGATGAACTTCAGTGAGGTGTTTCACCTCTGAAACAGGATTCTTCAGTCAATATACAGGGATGTGCAACAAGCAACTTTATGGAGATAAATGGTATACAATACTGACATGATGGAAAAATAAACACAAATGTAGTATACTGTAATCCTTTAATGACTATGTTTCACCCACACAGTGGGCTTTATCAAGTCACAAACAGATCTACCAAAGCAGAGAGTATGTGAGTATATGTAGTGTGGAGAGACAGGTGGAGAATGTTGGGTAGGTTGTATTTGAGAAGGGTGCAGGTCCATATCAAATACAACCTCTCCAACATTCTCCACCTGACTTAACACTATACATACTCATGTACTCTCTACCTAGGTAGATCTGTTAATGATCAGCTGGGTGTCTTGGATGAACACCCTGCTGGTCATCAAAAAAATGGACAAAACATAACAGAGGCCTGGAATAAGTACAAATCTGTAAAAAATACAATGCAACCGAACCAAGGAACTCTCAGTTTAACCACTAAGTCTGCAGCCAAACTTCTTTTACATAGAATAATCACTAAATCCCATCCCTGGCAACATACCCCCCCACTCTTCATAGATCTAAATTTACTCCCTGTTCAGAACATCCACACTTACTACTGTGCAATCTACATCCACAGGACCTTAAATTCCAATATTAACCTTGACCTAAAATGCTTTCTTGATAGTTGTGACAGGACCCACAGGCATAACACCAGATACAAACATCTCTACGACATTCCCTGTGTCTGACTAAACCTTTACAAAAATTCAATGTATGTCAAAGGCCCTAAAATCTGGAACACCCTACCTGAAAACTCTAGAACCGCAGACACATTCATTACCTTCAAAACTACCGTTAGAAAACATCTTATCTCCCTGATACACTCCGTCAACTAACTACATAAAAACCACCTGGTGGTTCACACTTACACTCACTCACTCACCCATTTGACTATAAGCACAGAAATACGAATCTTAATCTTAAAATAATGATTCTTAACTAGTCATAAGTTTATCTGTGATACTCCAATATAGAAACTATGTATTGTGCCAAAACAAAAGCATTCACATTGCTAAACTCACAAACTAGTATTTAGTCAACTTACTCCATAATTTGTAATAATTTAGGGCTAAGAATTAATCTAAGTTTTCCTGAAATGCCTAGCCATGCTAGGTGTTCTAGTGGCCCCCCTCTGTAATTAGTATTTTACTACTACATGTAAACCACACAATAACCAAAATCTGTAAACCTCGCATTGTAATGCTTATAGAGAATAAACTTGATCGATTGACTAATTGATTGATAGGTCATCAGGAGGACTGGTGGGCCTGCAATACTCCCATCTTGCAATTCACTCAAGTGGTATATATTAATTTTATTTGATGAAAGGGGGGGTGAATCTGGAAATTATGGGAGGCTTTATCTCTCCTTGCCCTTCCTTAGCACCACTGCTGCTGATCATATGACAGAAAATTCAATATATACATCACCCTTCAGTTTTTTTGTTTTTCAGCGAATTAAAAATTTCATTCACATTTGTGCAGGGTCCTGCACATACAGCACCTTTTTTCAGTGTTCCACGATTTTATTGGCTTTTAACTGAGCCATTGTTCCATCCACCGGTGACACTCACCAGAGGGTGGACCATAATGAACAATGGCTCAATTTGAAGTCAACAAAAATGTGGAACACTGAAAAGAGGTGCTGTATATGTGTGGGGCCTCCTGTATTCAGAATGCTCTATATTGTTTTAATCAAAAGCTATGAGAGAAGCTAGACACAGTGGCAAAACAAAAAAGAAGTGTGCAAAAATGTTAACAAAATCAGACTAGGAAAAGAGGGCGTCTGTAAACTTACTGGTGTCTACAGTCTGCGATGCTTTTCACAAGGTACTGAATGCGCTGAGTATCAAGGGTGATGTGTAGCAGCCTCGCTTCCCTGATTTGGCTGATGGTTGTAGACCAGCAACCATCATAGCGAGACTGACTATGGCTGATCCGCTCATCACCTGTTGCAGAGTACCATAAAAATAATAATAATAATAATGATAATGGGGAAGGGGAACAGAATTCTTCCTTTGTAAGCCGTGTGTGTCATAAGCGGAGACTAAAATGCTGGGAGCAAGGGGCAAGTAACCCATTCTACAATGGACCTCCGCGAATTCGAGGTTCAGCAATTCATGGATTTTTCCTTAGAACCTAATAATTGTTCACGGAAATCCCTGCAAATTCAGAGAATTTTTTGGGGCTTTTTTTCAAGGCAATATATAATTTTTCATGTATTTTAACCCGTAAACGGTCCAAGCAGATCTATGTTCACATGTGTAGTGCTACATAAGTAGATCTACGTTTTTTTTACATATTTTCAAATGTAACAAAAAAAAAAGTAGATCAAAGTTTTTTTATACATTTTCAAATGTAAAAAAACAAAAAGAAGATCTACTTTTTTTACATACTTTCAAATGTTGAAAAAACGTATATATAGGTTTGGACCGTTTACGGGTTAACACAAAATATTAAGAAAAATATAATTTAACAATTTTGTAACAAAGTAAATTCAGCAAAGTTTCCATATAAAATATAATACTGTACAGTATAAATTTTTAGCGTATATTTTACCATATATTTAGAGGAATGATGAAGTAAAGTGTGATAAAAGAGAAAAAAGTAGCTGATGAGAGGTTTTTATAAAGCAGAAGTGTTGTAAGAAGAGCAGAGTATATGGAGAGTAAAAGAAAGGTGAAGAGAGTGCTGAGAGAGTGCAAAAGGAGAGCAGATGATAGAGTGGGAGAGGCATTGTCAAGAAATTTTGATGAAAATAAGAAAAAATTTTGGAGTGAGATAAATAAGTTAAGAAAGCCAAGGGAACAAATGGATTTGTCAGTTAAAAACAGAGTAGGGGAGTTAGAAGTTGGGGAGCTGGAGGTATTGGGTAGATGGCGGGAATATTTTGGGGAACTTTTAAATATTGATGAAGAAAGGGAGGCGGTAATTTCATGCACTGGTCAGGGAAGTATAACATCTTTTAGGAGTGAAGAAGAGCAGGATGTGAATGTGGGGGAGGTGCGTGAGGCATTACATAGAATGAAAGAGGGTAAAGCAGCTGGAACTGACGGGATCATGACAGAAATGATAAAAGCGGGTGGGGGGGGGTTTATAGTGTTGGAGTGGTTGGTATTTTTGTTTAATAAATGTATGAAAGAGGGAAAGGTACCTAGGGAATGGCAGAGAGCATGTATAGTTCCTTCATATAAAGGGAAGGGGGACAAAAGAGATTGTAAAAATTAAAGGGGAATTATAGGGTTGGTAGACAGCAACCACCCAGGGAGGTACAGTGGAACCTTGACTTAGAGTTTAATCTGTTCCAGGAGCTAGCTTGTAACTCAATTTAGTTGTACATCAAATTAATTTCCTCATTTAAATTAACTGAAAAGCCATTTATCCGTTCCTGCACTATGGAGAGACGAGAAAAAATACTTGAATATCACTCTATTCTCAACTGGACGACTTATTTATCTATCACAATTTATCTAATATGACATAATAAACAATATAATTAACAAAGAAACATGATATATACTCTAGAATGAATAAAATAGGCCATAATATGGTGGCAGAGGCAGCAGTGGAAGTGTCTGCCATTTCTGTCCTAATTTGACTATAGTATCTTCCCATGCTCTTACTGTAAGAGAAAACAGAGTATTTTTGAGCCTAACTGCAGTAGATCACTAATTTTCTAAGGAAAATGCTGAAACAATGTACAATAGACCCCCGGGTAACAATGTCATCGGCTAACGAAAAAATCGGGTAGCGACATGTTTTTGCATCAAAATATTGGCTCAACTACTGACAAAAAACTCGGTTAAGTACATTCGTCTTGAACGTGTCCACGCAGCCTGAGCCCAAGTACAGTGTGCCATTGTTTACAAGCCAGTGAGAACGATTCCATGTGTACATGCAATATATTTTGTATTATTCGATTGTTTTTATTGCTTGTAACAGCTAAATAAGCCACTATGGGCCCAAAGAAAGCTTCTAGTGCCAGCCCTGTGGTAAAGAAGGAAAGAAACACAATAGAATTCACGAAAAAACTTGTAGCAAAGTACCAAAGTGGAGGAGGAAGAGAGAGGGGAGAATGTGCCTTCTGCAGTGATTCAGTAATTCTACGATATGTATGATAATAAAGCAGCAGGCATCGATAAAGGCTATAGTGCCAGCCATCGATAAAGTGTAGAATTAACAGTGTAGCAAGTAAGTTAAGCGAGTAAGCAATAGAAAAACAACACGAAAGTAACTCTCCAATATTGTTGTATGTGTATTAGGCCAATGAACATACGCAGCCCTGCTAACTTCCACCACCCTAACCTCTGCTAGCATCTCCTCTATCAAACTAATTAATTAAACTAATATCTCCTCCAAGGTAAGTGTAAATATAAAAGTAAATATAAGTGTAAATATAAAAGGACCCCCAATGGAAATAAGTCACTCTGACTTTTTTGGGTTACCCTAGGTACTTTACACATATGCTGCTATGTATGATAATCAATGTACGTAACTGTATTTGTGTATACCTGAATAAACTTACTTATTTATAAATTAAAATGTAAATATTTCTTATTTATATATTACATACACTGTTTAACCCCTTAAACGGTCCAAACGTATTTATACGTTCACGTGCATAGTGCCCCAAATGTATACAGTGGACCCCCGAGTTTCATGATTAATCCGTTCCAGAGAGCCCGCCGAAGGTCGAAATTCATGAAACTCGAAACCATTTTCTCCATAAGAAATAATGGAAATACAGTGGACCCCCGCATAACGATGGCATCACATAGCGATTATTTCGCATACCGCTTACTATAATTGCCCAAAAAATTTGCCCAATACCCCTTAAAACCCTTACCGATTTTCCTCCGAGACGGCCAATGTGCGGCCTGAGCCACGTCACAGGGTTTCCCGGTGGCATTGTTTAACCCGCCGCCTCCCGGTAAACCCAAACATACAATCGGAATTTCGTATTATTACAGTGTTTCGGTGGCTTTTTCTGGAAAATAAGTGACCATGGCCCCAAGAAAAGCTTCTTTGTGCAACCCTACGCAATAGGTGAGAATTACAATAGAGAAGGGAAAAAAGAATTTTTGATAAGTATCGCTACTATTTGGGGGTACACTTGCTGCTTGCTGCTGTGCATGTCAGCTGCTGCTGCTGCTGAGCCCTCGTCTGCTGCTGCTGCTGCGTAGCCATCGTCTGCTGTGTGTAGCATTGCCCGCTCGCTGACTGCTGTGCACGTCTGCTGTGCTGCTGTTGTAGCAAACGTTGCTGTGCTGTAGATTGTTGCCTGTGCTGCTGCTGCTGTAGCAAAGTCTGCTGTGCTGTAGCATCGCTGCTGCAGCTGTAGCATTGTTCTGCTTGGGTGCGCTCTGTGTAGCAAACTTTTGCTGCTGCTGTAGCATTGTTGCTGCTGTACCACCGTTGTTGCTGCTGTACCACCGTCAGTGCTGCTGTGCTGTAGGGACGTTTTGGTGTGGCTTAAATTTAGAAACCAAGAAACAATTAACCCCAGAGGATTTGCCACCCAGGATAACCCAAAAAAAGTCCCGTGTCATTGAAGACTGTCTAATTTTTTCCATGGGGTCCTTAATCTTGCTCCCAGAGCACCCCACCAGTCGACTAACACCCAGGTTTAACAGGGAAAAAAGCCTGGAACTAGTTGCTCATATGGTGAATTAAAGCCGCAAAGGTTGGTTTGAGAATTTTAAGAAATCGAGTGGCATACACAGTGTGATAAGCCTTTCTGGAAGAAAATGCCAAACAGGACCTACAGTAACTCAGGGGAAAAGGCACTCCCAGGGCACAGTGCTCACAGTCTTGCTTCATCTTCAAAAAGGTAAGTGTCATTATTTTTAATTTTGTAGAGTAGTAACATTGCACAAAATATGGCAGTACTACTCTACTTTGTGCATGTAAACCTTCTTTGTGTGTGGGAAAAGTAATTTCATGTGGTAAAATTTTTTTTTTATTTTGGGTGTCTTGCACGGCATTAATTTTATTTCCATTATTTCTTATGGGGAAAATTCATTCACATAACGATTATTTCGCATAACAATTACCCCTCTTGCACGGATTAAAATCGTTAACCGGGGGTCCACTGTAAAATTAATCCGTTCCAGACACCCAAAAAATATTAAAATATTTTTTTTCAAATTAATAAAGATTAATATGAAACAATCAAATCAAGTACATGCATTTAAAATAAATAATAATATTACACTTACCATTACTGAAGACTTCTGGGTGGATGGAAGATGGGAGGAGGTGATAGGAGGAAGGTGTACACTATTGTTTGGAAGGAGAATCTCCTTCCATTAAGACTTTAGGTAGCAAGTCCTTATCTGGGATTACTTCCCTTCTTCTTTTAATGCCACTGGGAACAACTTGAGAGTCAATGGACCCCTGGCGCACAAAATATCTATCCATAGAGGTCTTTTTCTGGCGTTTCTTTAAGATTTCCCTGAAGTGGGACACAACACTGTCACTGTACATGTTGCAGATACGACTTGTTTCAGCTTGGTCAGGGTGATACTTTTCAACAAAACTTTGCAACTCATTCCACATTCTACATATGTCCTTAATCACTGAAGAAGGCACCTCATCCACTCCCTCTTCCTCCTCCTCTGAAGCAAGTTCCTCGGCTGTGGTCTGATGCTGTTCCAGTTGAAGCTCTTGCAGTTCGTCAGTGGTTAGCTCTTCCCTGTGGTCCTCCACCAACTCTTCCACATCCCTGTCACTCACTTTATTTACCAAAGGGCTTGCACTAGCTTTCCTTGGGTCCATGATGACTTATTTAGCAGTTGCAAACACAAAAAACAATGGATTATTATGAAATGTATTGTATGAACCCGCGGGGTGATGGTCCCGTGTTGGTAAATAATGGCACACTGAGCGTGAATGGCGTGGTAGACTGGCTTTGTGTGTGCGGTGACGGGCGGACGGGTACTGGACGGTT